TTCTGAAAGTTGTCAGTTGTCCAAGGGAAAAGTTCATTTGCTTTTCTGACAACAAATTGTACAAGAAATTATTTAAAATTCCGGAAAGTCCACATCTGTGCAGATTGTCTGACAGAATTTCAATCGAAACTGAATCAAAAGCCCCCTTAATGTCCAAGAATACTGAAGCCAATTGCTCCTTGTGCGCAAAGGCCAGCTGAATATCTGTGGAAAGCAGCGCTAAACAATCGTTTGTTCCTTTGCTCTTGCGGAACCCAAACTGTGTATTTGATAGCAAGTTATTTGTTTCGACCCACTGATCGAGTCTCCGAAGGATCATTTTCTCCAACAATTTCCTAATGCACGAAAGTATCGCAATCGGACGGTATGAGTTATGGTCAGACGCTGGTTTGCCAGGTTTTCGAATGGCTATTACTTTAACCTGTCTCCATTCAGGCGGTATAATGTTGTTTTCTAGTAAGGAATTGAATAAGTCTAGCAAGCGTCTTTTAGCGATATCTGGGAGATTTTTCAGAAGATTGAATTTAATCATATCGCTTCCCGGTGAGGAGTTGTTCGATGAAAGAAGAGCCATAGAGAATTCCAGCATTGTGAATGGTATATCCAGTGAGCTGCCGCTCGGAGACGCTTCTCGAAGAATGTGTTGTGCTGGAGCTGAGTCCGGACAGACCTTTTTAGCGAAATCGAATATCCATCGGTAGGAGTATTCTTCACTCTCATTAGAAGATGAGCGGTTACGCATGTTCCGAGACACCCTCCACAAGGTTACGTTTTGTCTCTTGTGAACACTAGGGGTTGTTCATAAACTACGTAAACAAGTTTTTTTGGGATTCTAGACCCCCCCTCCACCTGCGTAGACAATTGTCCATACAATTTTTTTTTAAATTTGTATGGGCCGTGGATAATTGTCACCCCCCCCCCCACCTAAACTGTCTACGTAGTTTATGAACAGCCCCTAAGCATAAATAAAAGAGCGAATTATATTCAAAGCTATATTATCGAAAAACATAAAACATGCCCATCCCTACCACGTCAACGCGAAACTCCCACAGCAGCAAAAACACACGCTAATATTAGATACGCCACACACTTAGAAATACCTAATCTTACACGTGACGGAATCCATCTTTGACATAAAGGATGAGACGTAAACAAACATGTCATGTAAAATTAAGTGCTCCGAGACTGAAAATTTGGAAAGCACGTTTGATTGACCTGAATTTCGCGTCTATTATGACTCAATTTTATGTCAAAATTGACGCTCGTATATATCAGCACCTAAATTTACATCAATTTTTCTAAGTGTGCAGATTGGGCGTGAAGTGGACAAACCCAAATTTGCTTACATTTAAAAGTAATCTGGAACTTGCAGGGACAAAACAAACCCCATCAGCAAGGAGATCCCGGATGAGCTGGCCGAGCACCATGTGTTCCGCGAATGATAAGAAGACCACATGATGAAGCTTTATAAACAACAGTGTCGTTCGGCACTGGAGGAATGGCCCATTGTATCATTTTATGAGTTAACCACGGGTTAAATTTATAAATAAGGATTACTAATTGTGTCTCTTTTATCAAAAATCAATAGATCATACAAACTCTTAAAAATCTTTCTGTTTTAAAAATCGCTAAAAATGTGTACATTGTAACCGTTTTATTTAGCCATTTTTATTTTAAAATGGGTATAAAAGTACCCCATGATTTGAAGTACAAACTATTTACCTATAAATGAGGTATAGACGTTTTACTCATGTAATGAGTTAACTTACTTAACTTCGAAATGGGTAGTTTTTCACCCATTAATGGGTGATTTCCAGTTACAATGTTGACAACCACTAACGAAAGGAAAATGGAAAAATCAGCACAGCAGCGGTCGAAAAGTGGTACACGGCGAATGAGAACGACCAACATTTGAGTTTAGTTTACTCAAAATCGGTAAAAGTACAGGAACTCAGCGATGAGTGAATTTGCCTCATGGTTTATGTAGAAAGCCTTAAAAACCTGCCGGAAAATGAGGAAAAATGACGAATACTTTACTCAGTCTAGGAGTAGTACCAATAGATTGAGTGAATCCAATCTTTAATTTTCTCATGTTCGCGAAGTTTTTCCTGGTCAAACCTGGAAAAACATGAGGCAAATTTACTCATCGCTGAGTTCCTGCACTTTATGTGATTTATGAGTTAACCAAACTAAAATTTGGGTCGTTCTCATTCGCCGTGTACGTGTCGACGATCAAATGCATTGTTTACAAAAGCTGAGCTCTGGGGCACGTCACATATTTGTTGTGGGGACATATTATAGATCGATTAGGCATTTTGCGCGAAGATTTTCGTAGCTTGAAAGCTCGGAGATACCCATCATTTGGAGTCGTTCTAATAGTACGTTCAGACTACAGAGTTATAACATGTTATAGCGCTATCTTGATGGTGGTTTCTGTGTTGCAATTATTTGACAACCGTTATAACATGTTATAACTCTCCAGTCTGGACAGCGTTTAAAACGCAATAAGCTAATATGCGATATACAATAAGCTTGAAATGCGAAGAAGAAGAAGAAGAAGAACTCTCCAGTCTGAACAAGGCATTAGACTACAGAGTTATAACATGTTATACGGTAATGATGCGATTTTGTCAGCCCCCCTTTTAAGTGCGGAACCCATGCGCTTTTTCAGTGGTTTTATTGCACAAAAGTAGGGGAAAAGTTGGCTTCGGCAATACCTTAACCTATTATCGTCAGGGGGTAAACAACGTCCTTGAGAGCTCAATTTTGGCATGTGGATACATTGTGTTTCAGAGCAACTATTGGCCAAATTTTAGTGCTCTAGGACTTTGTTTACCCCCTGACGATAATAGGTTAAGGTATTGCCGAAGCCAACATTTCCCCTATACCTTGAACATCCATCATGAAGATGATTAAGAAAGATTTGGAATTACTGTTATGTGAAATTATAAATGATGAAAGTTCAATGCGCGGAGGGGCTGCCAAAATCGGGTCATTATTGTAATAAATATCGATTAGAAAAATGTCATCTAGATAGGCTTATATTAAACATGTTATAGCTGCTCAGTCTGGCCAGTGTTTTAACGTTTCACAGTCCTCAACATTTCTCCAGTACATACTGTCATCGTCTTTCTCTCGCTAACTGACTTCCCTTCCCCAGTGCCTACTATGATCTTTCCTATCTATCAGTAATATCGAATGAATTCTGAAACATTTGAATTAAGTCAATTGATCATGGGGAAAGTGCCATTTTGAGACGTTGTGAATTGCTATAAGCAAGTCCAAACATATGGATTAAGAAAATTTCTATAGACAGAAATTATATTTTTTTTTTATATTTTTTATATTTTATACAATACTCTAAAAACATTCTGAGGATTGCCCTATTCCATGAATTCTTTCAAAAATATTCAAAACTATTCCGAGACCTGTTGGTACATATTCAATATAAACACTATACATAGAAATAGAGTGTTATTTATCGTTCACTCACACTCAAAACAAAATTAAGAAGGACAACATATAACAACTCTCTCGTTCATAAAACCGCAAATTGCTGGTTCAACTACGCGATTTTTGTACCGTGAGAGCTCCTCGCCACAGTTTATAGTCAGTGCGCAGGACCCCCGTTTGCCATCCTTGGTACTGCATGTACTTCCAATGTAAAGCGTCTTATCGTCGTAAGTCAGCGTTCCTTGTTGGGTTTGGGATATTTCAACGCTTTGTTTGAATACAAATTGTTCTATCCATGGGATTAAGGGTGCTACATTGGTCGTAATCAACGGATTATACGACCCACAATCCGTCCCATAAGCATTTACTCCAAATATGATCGTTTCGTCGCGGCTCAGTAGGGGACCACCTTGATCAACTTCGACCAGATTGGGAACCATGCGATAGTCTGTGCCGATGCAGCTCATCGCATTCCCTAGTCCTTGAGGAAATTTGGAAGAATATTCTATGTCGTTGGCTATAGCCTGATCATCGCAACGGGACTTCGAAGGAAGGTAGATTTGTAATTTTTGTGGATATGGTGCCTTTGGGGTTCTACAAGAGAATGTCTCCGGTGCTATTTGGTAGCCTCGCAAAGCACTAGCATACGGAAGACATACGGGAACAATCCATTCCGCTGCAGCTATATACCGATCAAGACGGAGAAGAGCCACATCGTTATAGTAAGATGCTTGATTGAATAGGGGATGTCTTTCTATTTCTACTATCCCTGCCCATCGATCTATAATGGAAATTTTGGTAGGTGATTCCCCTCGTAAGTTGAAGGTACAGCGTGCCGATGTTATAACTACATTGTAATCTACCAGAGTACCTCCACATACAACATCTGTCCTAGAATCCTTCCAGTGCAGGTAAACTCTACTAAAATATGGATCAACCACTTCTGTTTCGCCTGGCATTTGCGTTGGCTCCACGTAGTCTTTATATTTCTGTATGCATTCTAGAATTTAGGAGTATTAAATTAGTATTACATTAGCTGTCTACTATTTGTAACTTACCTAATGGATCTAGTGTATCTCTTACAACAGATCTAATCCAATTGAGATGCGGTTCAATTTGTTGATACACTCCGTAGGATCCACGACCACAGAACTTTCCAAATGAAGTAACACCGATTAAAAAATGAGCAATATGCTGATAACTGTACAGTGATGTCTGCAGTGGTCCACCCGAGTCACCCTGACAGGTATCTCTATACGGATTCCCCGCACACAACTGATCAGCACGGATTCCATCAGGTAGTCCTCGATCGGCTGGATAAGCCGATGCACATTCGGTTGCATTTATTATGGTGAGCCGTGCTTTCAGTAAATCAGGGCTAGGGTCTCCAGCATATTCTGTGTACCCGAACCCAGCTACCTCGAACCAATCAAATGGGTTGACATTTTTGGACCAGATACAAGCTGGACATACCCCTGGTGTTATCCTACATTAATATGACCACGTTGAGGATTTCCGTTCCGGTATAAAAATTACCATAAACATACTCAACTTTTTTCTCCAACTCCACCAGCGCTAAATCATTGTACTTTCGAGGTGGTTTACGATCAGGATGCGAAATTATCCGTTTGACCTTGAGCTGCTGTGCGTAGCGATCGTCGGTAGTCAATTCCAGATGGATGTCGCCCAATCGAACCACATCCGGAGGTATTCTAGAACAAATAACACGCCAAGTTTCAAAAAATGTTCGATATCGAATTTGCCATACTCTTACCTCGATCTATCCTGTGAGCAATGGGCAGCAGTCAGCACGAAACGTTCCGTTATCAACGATCCGCCACACTTCCAATCGATCGTACCAGCCGGAGTCGTCCAACCCAGCACAGCCATGTGAGGAAACTCGGTTGCATTTACGCTGGTCCCATTGAAGACGGCCATCTGATGTTCGAATACGTTACGCCGGTGGAAGCGGGAGTGGCAGTCTTTGCAGAGAGAAGATCGGTTAGAGCTTCAATGATGCATGTTGATCATACTAAGGTTCTCTTGTTGCCTTATGTTTAGGAAAACGAAAAGCGATCAATCTTCACCATTTAGAATTCCTACATGTCGTGAATCGGCAAATAATTTTAAAAACGTCACAACACATACTGGTGGATGCTAATCCTTGCATCTCACCAAGCATTGGAATTAGCACATAATGTTATTAATTGAGAGCTAAACCTGTATCATTTTTGCATTAGTATAATTTTGTGGCAAGTACAAACATACTCTATGCTCATGGAAGTCGAGAAATGTTCTAACCCGAAAAATTCCTAGACCGGACCGGGAATCGAACCCATTCACCTCCAGCATGGTCTTGCTTTGTAGCTGCGCCTTTACCGACTGGACTAGGGAAGGCCCAAAGTTATCACCCCGGATTTGTCATTTGTTTTGCGTATATTAATAGTGGAGCTTCTATCGTTGCGGTGTAGGGTTTTTGTCCGAATGAATATTGCAAATGCTCATTTCACATAAACAATGTGTGTCGTAGTTCATTGAGTCATCCACAAATTATAAGGGGGGGAGCGAAAGGAGGCAAAAGTTTTTCTTACATTCAAAATATTATGTGTTAACATAAGCAGCTCTGATTTCCTACAGTACGACGAATCGTTTGGAAACGAGAATTAGTGCGAATGAGTGTTAACATACCGGATCTCAAAACAATAATTGGTATTCCACACTTCGAAGCATAGATTAAGAACTGTGCAGATTTTCTAACATCTCAAACATAGAATGTTTTTCGCAATCTTAGACTTGGAAAATTCAAATCTTCAAACTTATTAAAAAAAACTCGGCTGTGGAATTAAAAATTCTGTTTTTTTTATTCGAGATGTTTCTAAGATTTATAACATTCAAAACTGTTTCAGAATCTCAGATATGAATTTCTTTTTAATTAAAACTTAAGGCAGGAAGTGTTGTTGTTTACATTGTCTTACATTTAGTGAACAGTGGTTAATTTGTTAAAAATCCTCAAAAAATAAATGGTGGCCAAATTGTGACCCGTGGGCAGCCTCAGCTGATTTTTTTTCATAAATTACAAATGTTGGCCAAAATGAGTACAACATACACAAAATCGGAGACATCATATCAATTGATTTGCTGTCTTCGACAAAATGCAGCCTTACATATGACCAACAAACAAAGATTCAGCTATAAATAAAAAGGGGTTGACCAGCAATGTCTTTCATGTTGTGATCATTACTTTTACTGTTACAAAAGTTCCAAAAAGAGATTGCAAACTTATAGTTTGTCTTATAAAACTTATCGCAAGGAAACGGTGGGAAAGTAAATAAAAATCGGAAAATTGACATATGTCAACCTAACAATTGGTAACTACCACAGCTATAGAAATATCGTTCAAGTGGACGAGTTTTCCAATCAATTAATTTTTAATTTAATTTAATTTAAATGATACCATTTTCAAATAAAATAAATCCTTGGTCCACAAGGCTCAATAGATTCTAAATCTGTTCCTGATAATTATCCAAACATTTGGGCTCATTTGCTTGTAAACTCATACTGTACTGTCCCTTTGAAGATTATATGGGATTTACCATGGGAAATCAACATTTTTATTCTCCTCGTCCTAGCCTTTTGCCATAATGATTTATGGGTAAGGTGGCTATCTGCACATATGTGAAATGATCTCAGCTACAACTTTGTTGAAGTTGCTGTTGGCTAATGTTTTGCATAAATATTAACAAACGGTATACACGGATTCATACTTACCTTGTAAACTCCTTCGCTCGTAATAATCACTGGGTATCTTACTGGTGAACACTTCGCCCAACTCATTCTTTATTGCTTGAAGTTCATCTTCAATATGCGGTTTTGCTATAAAAGTACACAATTATGGAAATACAGTAAAGACCCGATTTTGTCAGCCTCCTTTTTTGAAAATCTTTTCAAATGTTCTACGAAACCTATGCGCTTTTTCAGTGGTCTTATTGCACTAAAGTATACCTTAAACACCCTTATCTTAAAGATTAATGAGAAAGATTTGGATTTACGGCTATGTGAAATTATTCAAAGATAAAAGTCTGGTGCGCGGAGGGGCTGACAAAATCGGGTTATTGCAGAATGCGGTTTTTACGATCGAAATAAATAAAAACATTTTCAACTTAACCCACCACTAGTTAAGTGTGGAACAACGGCCACTATGGATACTACGAAGCTAACAGTTAGAACCCACTTTTGTTCACATTTTTTCAACATCCTGACTGATTCAGAGCTTGAATGGGACTGAAGAAGATGGTTAAGGTTTTCGAATTGCAATGCACCCGTAAAAGAGAATCGCTTTGAAATTCTTAAAATCTGCCGGGGATTCTCCTTGCGCGAATTTCGTTGTTTCCTTTCTGCTGCATCATGCTATGCTTAGTAAAGCGGTTAGATAGCATGCTGAAGAAGCACTTCTTCTTTACGAGAGAATGGCTGCCAATATCATATAAAAAAGATATGGTGGATGTTTTGCTAAGCCTTTCATGCTAATTTGGCATTGCCTTGGCAATACCTATACGACAGGGGAAAACTTAATCCTTGAGCGCTCATTATATATGAATTTTGATTCAGCATATTTTATTCCATTGTTTGGCCAAAAATAAGCACTCAAGGAATTAATTCATCCCCTGACGTAATAGGGAACGTTATATATTTATTTATTCATTGTTTAATAATTCATCTGACGAAACTGTCTTAATAAAAGTGTGTGATATCTTAAATAAGTTCAATCTTCTTACTCTATTTATAAAATTAAGGCGTGGACATACCAAAATCGAACGTCTTATTTCGAACAATTATACCTAGTATCTCAGTTTCCGGCAGGTGCTTCCAATAATTTGGTATTTTGCAATCGTAAAATTGAACATATTTGTAGTTCTGTGGTTAACGTTTCAGCTCGATTAATCTTAAAATTAAAAATTTTCATTAAGATTTTTGAAGTGCAGAAGTTCAACGCACCCGGAGAAGAGAAACGTTTCGTAACTTTTCAAATTAGCCGGGGATTTCCATGTGCGTATTTTGCTGTTTCTTTTCTGTTGGATCATATATGTCTGCGTTTAGCAAACTGGTTAGACAGGATAACATTGTTAGAATATAACCATCGGGTAGGATTGTGCATACCAATTATACGAAATTTAACCTGTAAAACCTTGATAAAATTAATAAGCAAAGTAATGATAAATTCAACTATTTAAGTTACTTGTACTACAATATCATTTTGGACGCATTTTTCTATTTAAGATGCATGCTGATTGGATATCGTACCTTCTTGATTGGGTTTTCTTGATTTCCAGAATAAATGCCAGTAGCAAAAAAAAAACAACTTCGACCATGGCATGGGCATGGGAGAAGAAACTCCTTTCATACTGAAGAACAGTGTGTACAAAAAGATAAGACGGAAATTTTGATAGACTTTGTATGATTATTTTATGCAGGGTATGCAAATAACGCAGGATTCGTCCGAAAAAAGCTCACATTTTTGGTTGTTTTAAGGATCTGATACAAAATATCTTTTGACACATGAAAACCGGCGTTGGTCAGGTCGCATAATAAGTATTTACAGTGTATCGCTTGGGGTCTCCCTTAGGCGCAGCTATAAAGCAAGACCATGCTGCTGGGTTCGATTCACGGTCCGGTTTAGGAATTTTTCTTTTTGGAAAATGTCTCGACTTCCCTAGGCATAGAGTATGATTGTACCTGTCACCAGGCATGGAAAATCATTTGCATTCATTTCGTGCATTCATTTACATTCATTTGCCTCTTACTTTTTTCTTCAACAGCATTGCTCAAGATTTCCAACAAAACCGATATCATAAAATCAATCATATTGAACCAATATTTTTTAATCGATTATTTTTGAGGTCAGCACAGATGCCATAATGCTTGAAAGTGATAAGCGTGGGGTAAAAGTTTGACAAGATACCCACTAATGACGCAGCGCTAAACAAAACTGTCACCCATTTGTACGTCTATACAAAAATACAAAAAATGCGTATATGCCTAAACGTGAACCTGCGTGCTCTTAGGATCATCTTTGGCGGGGTATATACAGAAGATAGACAAAATGAACGAGACAGGCAAAAATTTGTCAAAATTCAAATGACAATAACTATTCGAAAAATATTCAAATTTTGATGAAACCGGATGAAATTGACGGAAAATTTATAGCAGTCCCCTGTATGTATGAAAATGGCGTATAGAGGAGAAGAATTTATCACGAGCTGGCGCAGCTATATGGAGAGCGCAGTATCCAGAAAATAACCATAGCTTCAAGGGTACAATGGGCGGCACACGTTGTGAGAATGTCGGATAATAATCCCGGAAAAATGGTTCAGGCCGGAACAAGACCCAGAGGAGTGCAGGGAGCTAGGAGCTTAGAACAAGTGGAGCAAAATGTAGGAAGTGTGGAACGCTCAAGAAACTGGAGACAAGCAGCCACGAACCGAGTTAGTTGTCGTAACATTGCGCAGAAGGTGAACTCCAAGAACGTTGGACGAGTCTAAGGAAATTGTAAGGTAGCCCCGTAACGTGGGTAGGTCGTGTTACGTTACAGGATGTAAGATCTACCACCGATTCCTAGTCCTGACTACTTCAAACTACACAGCAAAAAAATAATTTTAATATCACATCAAAGTGGATGCACTTCAATCGTGTCGAAAATATGGTGTAATATTACTTGCCAAAAAGGACAAAATTATCATTAATACAGTGCATGAACTGACATTACGCTGCTTTTACTGCATTTGTGGACTTGGAGACATACTTCAAGTCCCCGCGTACATCGTACGGGTTAGGCAAAAATGTGCGTCTATCTTGAAAAACTGTCGCATTAATGGCCCTTCGCTCATTTTCAACTTCTATTCAATTTTCAAACTGCCGTACTCTAACGGAACTATCCACCTACCCTCTTCTAAAGATCATTCTCTAGCTAATAAATCATCACACTAAAGCTTCATGTTAGCATTTCCAACCAACTCTGCATTTGTTTATTTTTGTGGCCATAAAAAATTACATTAGATTTTCAGCATGATTGAAGTGCATCCTCTTGGATGTAATATTGAAATTAATTTTTTGCTGTGTAGGGGAACAGGATTTTTCAGTAATTAAAGGAAAATATCTTTGTCCTTGCAGGGCTGGTAGCAGGTCACTTTTTAGTGACTTGGTCACTATTTTCAAGTAAGTCACTAAAAAGTCACTTTTTTCATCAAAAAATCACTAAAGTCACTATTCCTTAAAATTTAGTCACTAAAGTCACTTTTTTACGACCAATGTTGAGAGGAAATAATTTGACCTTAAAAACTCAAAGTAAAGTCTGACAAGAAGAGTTGTGAACATATGGAAACGTTTACTGTTCACGAAATCTAATATTTTATTTATTTTTATCTTGAAATTGTCATAAACCTATCATAAATTTTCAGAGATTTCTAAAAAAGCTCTAGACCCAATATTCTGGCTGTTTTACATGGAGATCTTGAAAGTTATTCAAGCATACACTGCAACAAAAAGTTACGTAAAATTCACCTGAATAGGCACGTTTATATTTTCCATCATACTTTTCAAGTGAATATTACGTATTTTGGGGGAGAGATTACATTTGAGTGATTCACATAGAAATCAATTGATTTTCACGAAAATTTTATCGGACTTTCCGATAATCTTCAAATTGGCATCACTCAAAAACTAAGGGAATTAGCAAGTAGATGTTACCTGATTTTGTAGTAATGATAAAGGGAATTGGTGATAGACTATAGATATATATTTATATATATATATTAAATTTAAATTCACTCATTTTCTGCAATTTTATTTTTAATTTATAAATGAGTGTTAATTTATAAAAATATAAAACTTACGCTTGAAAACATGAAGAAGTCTGGGAATTCCAACTCGTCCAACAACGACGAATGCGCACTTTCTTCCATCGCCATTTTTGAATTACGAATACGACGAGAAAATTTTCATACCATGATAATCACGAAATACTTAAGTGAATTTCACTTAGTCTTCACCAGCATGATATGTGGACTGGACCAGTGAATCCAGTGGAATTGATTGCCATGTCATGAAGTCCTATTTTGAAGAGGTTACCTGAATTTTCAGGTAAAAATTACCTTTCTCGTTGGTACAATGTATAACAAGCTCTCAACATTTGATCAAAGGCCAGAAATTTGAATAATCTTCGACCCCCGGTAGCTTTAGTATCCGTCCAAACATTGAGAGAAAAAAATCATGACACAGATCTTTGAGTTCCTTTTTAAGTCCATTAAATTGTATTGTATGTTTTCGATACTAATATTCCGGTAATAAAAAACAAAAACTCCAAGTCCAGGTCTCAGAATTTTTAAAAAAAAACTCTAAAATGTATTCCTAAAACTCTATTTTTTAAGATCGAGATTTTAAGTCCTAGACGCATTCAATTTTCTTTTATGCCCGTGATCATTCCATCTGGGAAAATTTTCCTCATGCCATAATAATGAGATTTTTTCTTAAACTGCGATCTAGAAAAGTTGTCTCAGAGTTATGATTATGAGGTGTTACAGAACTTTCTATTCTTGGGAGGAATGGAGCAAAGTAAAAAGACGACCAGTTCGTTATAGCGACTACAAAGAAGAGAAGAATCTTTTATTAATATACTCATGGCTAACTTAGATCTATGTACATTTAATTCCAGACTGCAGTTCTTCATGTTGCTAAATGCATCGCTTCATATCTATCCAATATCTTCAAAAAATGCTGTCTAAAATCGGTACTTTGAACATTTGTCTCTGTGCCTCTATTTGGCGATCTAATAACAAATTCGTGATCTGCAGAGTGAGGAAATGGAGGTTAGATTTGGAACGTGCTCTTGCTTATTCAATTCATATTTATGTTCCGATATCAAATTTATGTGATCCTTAAATCATTTGTTTTATTTTTAAAAAGCATGGAAAATAGCGGAATAACGGATGATTGGAACCATATCTTTCCGATCAATAAATGTCACTATTGGTCACTTTATTTTTGTTTAAAAGTCACTATTTGGTCACTATTTTCGTAATTTAAGTCACTAAAGTCACTACTATTACATCACATACCCTGATGGATGTTGAACTAAACTTAAACTAAATTAATCCTAAATGAACTGAAATCTACTTAACCTAAATGAACTAACTAAATCCTACAGCTAAACTTATAGTTAAAACTTAATCCTATAAATTGAAAGTGCTCTAAAATCATGTATCAGTACCCCTAATCCTAAGCCAGAGATGAAGAGAGAAATGAGTAGGATGCTGCACGCATGCGCACCACACAATAGCGTCCACTTGTAGTGGTCATTTTGCCATTTGTACATAGATAGGAGATAAAACAAATTGTAAATATAGGATAGTACAAAATATACCGTCGGAAGCGATACATCCCGTTTTTTGCTGTAGTCCGGTCGTAGATTAAAGAGAAAAGTAAACCCAGTCCAGTAGTGCAATTGATTAACATTTTCCTTGAGTGATCCGAAAGTGTTCCTGTGACGACTATTAGTTTAAGTGGTCAAGCAGCATAAAGCAATCTCCGAATCGCGCGTTGTGTGCATAGTGCAAAAGTGCATCAGGAGCAGTTTGTATTACAAAGTGTCCGAGCAAGGTGGAGAAAATTGCAAACACTGGGACTAGTCCCCCCGGTGAATTCATCATCATCTTCTGGGCCGTCGATTGATAGACGGTGGAAAATCCTTCGAAAAGGAACGGGTAAGCCCCATCATTTGGTCCTTCGAGCCGGATCGAAGGTTCCCCCGACCAGAAGGGCAGGTGCGGTGAGTACACCATTTCGTTTCTTCCATGCGCTGGCAATTGTTCGACCTGTAGTTGAGGTCAATAGCTTTGTACGGCTGACCAAAGCCAAGCTATTTGATGCCATTTGAATAGTGCAAATCGAATAAAGGCCTCCACACAGTAGGCAGTTTTTTTTGACCCGTTTGCTTTGGCGAAGCAACGGTGTGCTCGACTGAAGAGATTTAACGGAAAATTAAATGGATTGGAAATCCTAGAACCGCAATTTGATTTGATTTTTCATTTTGCATGTGTGTATTTGATGGTGGTGGGGGGTGGCAAGTTGAGTCGCGTGGGTGGTACGCCCGTGTCGCGAAGGAGTTTTTACGTTCGATTTGCGTACCATCCTCGGGTATTTCGTCCGTGTAGAAAGTGGCACACCGCGACGGGAAGGATTAACACGTACGATTTGTGTCATTTTTCCGATCTCGCGTCGTGTAGAAAACGGTACGACGCGCCGGGAAGGAGTCCGTTAACCGATTTACGTACCGATTTTCCGATTTCGTTTCCGCGTTTTCCGAACTGTGATGGTAGTGAAGTGGGGATTTTGCAGTGAATCAGGATGTCCAGACCAGAGAAGAAGTTGGCCGAATGCCTGATGAAGCGGAAGGCACTACTCGTCGTTCGTGATTCCGTTGAGGCGTTCATCAAGAAGTATGACAACGAGAACGATGTGTACCAGATTCCGATCCGTCTTGAGGCGTTGGACCGTGTCTACAGTGAGTTCCAGGAGCTGCAAGCGGAGATTGAGAAGTACGATGACGCTGAGAAGTTTGAGGAGCATCTGCAAGAGCGAGCAGCGTTCGAAGCGAGATTTTGCACGGCTAAGGGATTTCTGCTGATGAAGCGTTCGACAGATCCCAACCAGACAGTGTTGAATACTTCAGTGACGGCCAATCATCACCCAGTTTCATCCAGTTTCCACCTACGGTTGCTCAAGGTCGATCTCCCTAAATTCGATGGAGACTTTTCCAGATGGCTTTCCTTCCGGGATACGTTCACCTCCATGGTCCATTCCAACGCGGACATTCCGACTATCGCGAAACTGCAGTACCTTCTGCAGTCCCTGGAAAGAGAAGCTCACAAGCCATTCGAGTCGATCGACATAGTTGCGGATAATTATGCGTTAACTTGGGACGCTCTACTGAAACGCTACGATAATAAGCGGTATCTGAAGCGGCAACTGTTCCGAGCCCTGTATGACCTCTCGCCGCTGAAGAAAGAGTCACCCCAAGAGCTGCACGACCTGATTGATGACTACCAACGGCATGTCAAGGCCTTAGCGAAGCTGAACGAACCTGTAGTCCACTGGGACACCCCGTTGATCAACCTGCTATGCTACAAACTGGATCCTACGACCCTCCGAGCCTGGGAGGAGAAGACCAGTAGCAGTGATGATGTCACCTACGGCCAGTTAGTTGATTTCCTGTACCAAAGGGTTCGAATGTTGAAGTCCGTCGTCACCGATCTGCAGCATCGTTCCAATCAACCCGGCCAAGCCAAGGTGGCCGGTTCCAATCCAATCCAGAAGAAGCCATTTAAGATGGTATCCAATTCCGCCACGACCGAATCCAAGAACTCCGCTCCGTACTGTATCGCCTGTCCAGAGAACCACTTCCTATTCCAATGTCCAGCATTTTCCCAGATGTCCGTTCGCCAGCGACGAGAGCTGATATCCCAGAAGCGCCTATGCTGGAATTGCTTCCGCTCTGGACACCAAAGTAGGAATTGTACATCCAAGTACGATTGCCGAACCTGTCACCAGAAACACCATACCCTGCTGCACGAAACTTCAACCACGAAGATACAATCCACTCCAGTAGCTATATCTGGTCAGCCATCCCAACAACCGAATCCATCCACGTCGACTGCCGTCGAAAACCCCGGATCAGTGAATCAGAACCCTCAAGTGAGCTTGTCGGTACAGTCGTACCAATCCACTGTCCTGTTGGAAACGGTTAACCTCCTAGTTGTGGACCAGAATGGGAAGGAGCATTCCGCTCGTGCACTCCTAGATTCAGGATCGATGAGCAGCTTCATCACGAAGAAGCTTGCGAACACACTCAACCTCCGTCGTACGAAAGTAGACATCGCCGTGTCTGGAATCGGTGAAACGTCGAAGCAGATCAAGCGCAAGTTGACTGCTACAATTAGATCCAAGCTACTTTCGTACAGTACTACGCTCGAGTTTCTCATCCTCAAGAAACCCACAGTCTGCCTGCCAACCATGCCGATTGATGTGTCCTCGTGGAAGTTTCCTGATGTCCCGCTAGCTGATCCAAGCTTCCACATTCCAGCCAGCATTGACCTGATTGTCGGTGGAGAAGTGTACCACGAACTGCACACTGGCAGTAAGATTTCTTTCGGTGAAGGGCAGCCTGTATTCGTCGAGACCTCTTTCGGATGGACTGTTTCCGGAAAGGTATCCATCCAATCACCTGAAGTTCCCCGTGTTTGTCACCTCACCACTGTGGACCGTAATCTGGAACAAGCCCTCCAGAAGTTCTGGGAGTTAGAAGCCGTTGAAACCTGTTCCAAGTTTACGGCAGAAGAAAATCTCTGTGAAGAACTGTATGCCACTACCACCACTCGCGATTCGTCGGGTCGTTATATCGTTTCCTTGCCACTCACCCGCGATCCGCTCGTCACTATCGGTGAATCACGTTCTATCGCCGAGCGCCGTTTCCTGAAACTCGAAAAACGACTTAAGCGAGATCCAACCACCAAAGAGGCTTACTGTCGCTTCATGGAAGAATACGAACGCCTGAATCACATGGTGAAACTCCTAGATCCAGTAGACGAAAGCCAGCCACACTGCTACCTTCCACACCATCCGGTATTCAAAGAATCCAGCACCAGCACGAAAGTTCGAGTCGTGTTCGACGCGTCGTGCAAGACGTCATCTGGATTCTCCGTGAACGACCTGCAACTGGTTGGACCCGTCGTTCAGGAAGACCTACTGTCGATCCACATCAGATTCCGCATCCACCAAATCGCATTCGTAGCCGATGTGGAGAAAATGTATTGGCAAATCCTGCTGCATCATCTGTTCCGCCGATACCAACTCATCCTCTGGCGTCCCAGTCCAGACCTACCAATCGCTACGTACGAACTACAAACCGTAACGT